GTGAGCTGTCACGTGAAAATTACAAGGCAAGACTCAAGTGACAAGTGAGCCATCACATCCTGGACTGCCGGATGTCACGAGCAGTGACTGAGCCAACGGAGAGGACTCTTCACTGACAGGATGGGGACTGCAGGCCTGGCCGCTTTCCTGTGGCAAGGGCACCGTCCCAGGAGTCCCAGGTGCGGGCATCTGGAGAACGTGCTTGGGAGTCTCAGGGCCAAATGCCACCACCCATGGTCAGGGGCCTCCCCTGAGCACTGATCGTACACCAGGCACCCGTGTGCCAGACATTCTGCGGTGGTACATGCAGCAGCCCAGAGCGGTTGGCTCTTGATGAGTTCTTAAGATCAAAGCTCAGGAAATAACTTTCTGCTTTTCTCCTGGGAGACTCTGTAATTCTAGATTCTGAGCCTGATCAGCGAGAGGGCTGTCACAGGACGCGCTGTGGGAAGCCTGCTCGCTCAACCTCAGGCGAACTTCTGACCCGCCCCACGTCCTTGCTCTGCCACCTATGGGAGGCTGGATCTCTAACCCTCTGCACCAGGGATTTTCCATCTCGGGTAGCTCCTGGTGAGAGCCATCTCCACCTCTGTGCAGAGCACCAAGGTCAGGAACAAGGGCTCAGGACTTCATCGGATGATTCCCAGAGCTGGCAGCAGCAAATCAGCCAGTGACAGCAATCAAAACATCGTGGTCATCCCTGCCGCATTGCTATCATCATAACCATGACCATCATCATTATCATCACCACCAACATCACCACTGACAGCATCATGACTATTCCCATGATCATGCTTTACCATCACCGCCATCACTACCACTATGACCACTACCATCATCATCATCCTCATCACCATCATGACCATCATTGCCTGTATGATCATCTTCATCATCACCATCCTCGTTAGTATCACATCACAATCATCATAACCATTATTATTAACACTGACATCATCATCATCACGGTCATCATCATTATTATCATATTGTTACCAAAATCATCACCATTATTGCCAGGCTCACTACCATCATCATCATCATCACCGTCACCATCACCATCATCATGATCAGGTTACCATCATCACCCTCACATTAACAGCAGCAAACACATACTGAGCAATTACGTGCCAGGCCCTGACCACATGGTGTACTCCTTCTCCTTTCAGCATACAAGAATGTTCAGAGACACCAAACATCCCCGCTGTGGCACAGTGGGGTCAGGCAGGCTGTCCAGGTTCATATGGCTAACATCAAGGGAATCCAGAGATTGATGAGTCTTGCCAGATACCGATGGCTCATGCCCATTATCCCAGCTACTCAGGAGGCTGAGATCTAAGGATCATGGTTCAAAGACAGTTCAGGCAGGAAAGTCTGTAAGACTCTTATCTCCAATTATTTACCAAGAAATCTCAAAGTGGAGCTGTGGCTCTAGCAGTAGAGTGACACCCTTGAGTGAAACAGGTCAGATATAACATCTAGGCCTTGAGTTTAAGCCCTAGATTGGCACCAAATAAATAAATAAGCAAATAAGCAAGCAAGCAAAGTCTTCCATCATTAACCTAAAATTCAGGAAGATCTCTGAGTTATTCCACCTGTCGTATTCCTACTAGGTAGGTATTCCACATAACCACAGGTCCCCAGGGATTTCAGAGCACCCTAAAACACTATGCCCTACCATTTCTGAGCCCAGAAATGCCTTACTGCAGACAGATTGGAACAGTGTAACTTGCATTTCCTACATCATTTTCCACAGAAGCAAAAAGACAAAACTCAGTTCCCAACCTGGCCCTGAAGAACCCTCTTCAGACCACAGATCTGACTCAGTGACAGCTTGCCTCACTTCCTAACACCCTTCTTCCAGGTTTTTGGGTGCCCTCAGGCAGGGAGTGGGTGAGTCTGACGTGACAGCACTCCCAGTCCCTGGTAGACGGTTGTGCCACCAGCAACCCTGTCCTCGTAGCTGATGGAAGATGGCTTGAAGTGGAAGCACTCACTGTTCCAACAGCCACATCCTAGAACTGTGCTTGCTGCTGACCCACTGAATCTTCTCCCCTCCTCTCCCCCTGAACAAATGCACCCGGTGGTCTTGGGAAGAGAGCCTGAGACCAAGGCCGCGTCTGAGGCCGACACCCCTGGTGAACACAGATGCTGTTGACACCTTGAGACTGCTTGAAGTAACACTGCTCACACAAGTCCACTTTGTCTGCCTAGTATTTAGAGGGACCCTAGCTGTAAGGGATGCATGTCATCCTGGGCTGAAGGAGACTCAGTTCTCATTCCATTTCTTCTTGAGTAAAGCCAATTGGACTGCTGAGAGTCGACCTTTCTACTCTTACTTTTCTTGCAGTGGCCACTCTTGCTGGGTATAAAAACAAGTGCCAATCAGGGGAACTGTTGGGGAAGTTAATGCTAATTCCTCTCGGCAGTGGTCTAGGAGAATGAATTTCAAGCTTTCAGCTCACAGGTGAGGAAGAAGACATCAGGAGAGAAGAGACCTTTCCCAGGGGCACACAGCACGGACAGAGGGGCTCAGATGCACACCTGGACCCCAGCCTCCGGCACAGGCTGCCTGTGGCCTCTAAACAGCTCCCCAGAACAAACTCTGGCATCCTGGAGACTGCTCTTGCTGTCTGGGACCTTGCCTGATCATCGTGCCAGAAGCTTATGCCTGAGTCTGACACAAGCTGAGGAACACAGGGAGGCCAGGATTCCTTCCTGACCTCTCCCATCCACATCCAGAAACTCACACAAGCCTGGCCTTAAGTAACCCAGGAAAATAACTTACTTCCTACACCTCCAGGAAGTTCTTCCAAGGGCGTAGCTTGAATTGCTCCTGCTTGGGTATATAATACACTTAGATAGTGCCAGCTGGGCTATAGTGAACCTGATCAGGAAAACCATCCCAGAATTCCCTCTCTTCCCTTGGCTTTGTCCTGGAGACAGAGCAGTACCTCTCAGCCCCCAAGGAAGCTGCCACCAACAGCCTTCTCTTTCCTCCTAAGCCAGTGTCATTTCCCAGAATTCACAAGTCCCTGCCTAAGTAACAAACACCCATATTTTCCTTACTTTAAATTTGTTTTGCTAAACAAATCAATCGAGCACCAGATTACAAGGAGCCATAAATCTTCTGTGAGATAAGCATCTGTCATGTTGGATTAGCAACATCCAGTGTACTGTGAATTAATTTGCTAAGCCTTATGATGCTGTCCCCAGCACTTAACTTTAGTAATAACAAATGCAATTTGGAATAAATGGGAGCTTGTTTTCTCATCTGTGTCTACATAAGATGTGACAGAGAGTTCTGTTATGATGATGGCTTCTGAGTTTATTGAGGTAAAAACCAGAGCTTTGTAAAGACTTGTAGGTACCTAGCACCAAGGTGGTGACCCTTGGGCATCCCTGAGTATCTCTAGATACCTGAAGGAGGCTGCATGGGGGCAAGCCTAGGCAGGCCCCAGACCCTCTCCCTGGGAGCCCCCAAGCTCAGCCTCCAACCTGACCAGCCCTAGGCCTAGGAAGGCCCCAGGCCCTCTCCCTGGGAGCCTCCAAGCTCAGCTCTCAGCCTGGCCAGACCTATGCCTAAGCAGGCCTCTCAGGCTCTGTTCACATAGACAAACTGCTGAAGAGTGAAGATCCAAGAAGAAACAGCAGGTTCTCCTGTCTAGAGTGAGGGACGGAGGCAGGGAGGAAGGCAGGGAAGGAGGGAGAGAGGAAGGGAAGGAAGGAGGGAGGGAGGGAATGAGGAAGGGAAGGAGGAAGGGAAGGAAGGAAGGCAGACAAGCAGAGAAGGAGGGAGGAAGGAAGGAAAGGGAGGGAGGGAGGGAAAAGGAGGGATAAAGGGAGGTAGAGAGGAAGGGAGGGAGAAAGGACAAAGGGAGGGAGGGAGAAAGGGAAGGAGAGAGGAGAGAGAAGAAGGGAAGGAGGAGAGAGGGAGGAAATAAGGAAGGAAAGCAAGGACTGAAAGATGAACACAGTCCACCCATGACGCCCTGTCTGCCAAGGTAAGAGGAGGCACAGCCATCTCCTGAACCAGACTCCAGGAACTGAGCCAAATGTCCTTCAGGTCCTTCCTCCTTTGGTTCAGAAGAAACCCATGTGAGCTGTAGGGAGGCTGACCATACCACCAGCCCCATGTATCTACACCCTTGAATGCCTTCCCTCCCTTATGAATTAGCAAATGGCACTTTTGTCTGGTATGTGCTATTACCAGGGTCCATGTGTGAACTTCTGAGTCACTGTGAACCCCAGCCTGTCAAGAGAGGCCAAGAATGCCAGGCCAGGGGGAAAGGAGACCTGGCTGGGGGCTATTCCTGGTGCAGGGGCAGCTCTGGCCTGGGATGCTGCCAAGGTTAATCTTGGTAAAGCAACTGAGGGTAAAGGAAGGGAGAAAGAAGACAAGCAGAGCAGCAGGGACAGACATGGCTCAAACCAAGGAGCTGCGGTGTCCACATGCATGGAGGACGGCAACCTAGAAGAACCAATGCCCTGTGTTCCGGCTTCACCTCTGGCCATCCCATCCCCTTCTTCTCCTCTCCCTCCCCCTGCACTGCAGCAGCCCTGTTACAAAGCTTCAGCTCACAATGATGGCAGTTTCTGCTCTGACTGGCATTGGCCATTCCTGGTACCGAAGGATATTCCTAACCCTGGACCATGCTCCCCCTGCCCTCTAGGGTTCACACCCTGGGAGGGTCAGCTGTACTGGTCCCTGGAGACCAAGTTCTAAGGTTCCAGGACATGTGGCTGTGGGTAGATTGGGGTTCCCAGAGACCCAGGATGGGAATGCAGCATCTGCTTCTAAGTGGATGTGAAGTTGGGGCAGCACACCCTCCTTGCATCCACCTTATTCCCAAATTTGCCAGCACACAGAAACACGCACCTGCACAACACATGATACCTCGCCCCTCCTTCAGTCTTCACCCCAGAGAGGCTCGGTGTCCCTCCTGACCCGCGCCACACCCTGAAAGCCCCCTCCAGACAGGAACCCTGGGAGAGGCACCTACCTGAGGTCTCCCCCAAAATCCTTGGGGGCTTGCTGTCTTTCCCGTTGCTGCTGGGACTGGTGGAAGGCTCCGTTGTGCTAACCCCAACAGGGATCTTTCTCCGGGGACCCAGGGACTCCGTGACCCCCTTAGTCTGCAGCGTCACGGCAGTAGCCGTGGTGGTTGTGGAGGCCGTGGTGGTGGTGGTGGTACCCACAGTTGTCTTCCGTGTCTGTAAGGTGGAGATGGTGGTGGGGCCAAACAAGCCCGGAAACGTGTTGGACTCTGGGGCCTCCTCGTCCCCCGTGGGGCCCCAGGCAATGAACTCAGTCTCTGTGGTGGGCCTGCTGCCTCTGAAGTCAAAGCTGTTGAACGCCACGTCCTGTATGTGCCGCCGGCCCCGCCGCAGGAGGCTCTGCTGCTCGGCCACCCCGCCAGCCATGGTGGAGGAGGAGGAAGAGGAGGAGGAGGACGTGGAGGCCAGAGAAGGGCTGGATTTGGCAGCAGCTGGGGGCTTAGAAAGACCTGCTTTGGGCACAAGGATGGCCACTTGGTCCCGAGGCCTGTGGGCCCGCCGGACACGAGGCGTCTGCATCTGTCCGTGGGCCCGTTCTGTGCGGGTTGCCCGTGGGCTCCACACGGGCGTGGGGATCCGGGCCGGCTGCCCGCTTCGCAGGTTCCAGAGCCGTGGGGGCCGCTGTGGGGGCCGCGGCAGGAGCCGGAACTCGGGGCCAGGACCCAAGGACTCACAGGATGGAAAATCCACAGCAAGCTGCATCATGGCTATCAGTATCCAAGCATGGCTTCCGAGGGAGCGGCCAGGCCAACGGATAGACATGGAGCTGCCAGGGAGAGAGAGAGAAGAGAGGTCAGTGGGAAGCAGGGAGCAGGGAGAGGGACCCCTCCCTGGGGAGGCATCTGCTCCCCCCCATGCCAGGAAACTCTTCTGTAGAAAGACCTCATCTTAACCTCCAAGGAGAAACCCTTCCCAGAAGGCCTCAGATGCCACTTCCTCTCCAGCACCAAGGACAGAGCCCACCCCCGGTCAGAGGCCTGAGCCCCACCCCTTGATCACCAAAGTCCCCTTCAGTGAGGAGGGAGGTCCGATCCTCAGAACGATCCCAGGGCCAGCCTTGCCAGAATGTCCTGGAAGACCTGGCCCATAAGGACACCAAGCAGACATAGTGGCAGTGACAATGAGGCCTGTGGACCCTCCTGAGGTCCCGAGGGACGGGGGCTCCAAGGCCTCCAGTGTCCCCTGAGGCACAGCCCTGGAGCCACCTTCTGTGAGGACACAGGCCAGCCTGGCCCCTTCGAAGTCACTGGCCTCCTCCTCCTCTTCCTCAGATCCCACACATCAGAGCAGGCTGGGTGCCTTCCTTCTGCATGGCGGAGTAGTGAGATCTCACATAAGCTCAAGTTTGCCAATGGTCAAGTGTTTGTTCTGTGGACCTTTCCACTCCCACTGTTTACCTCTGGCGGGGTGCCTTTGCCACCCCGGCCTCTGCCCCCATCAGCTCAAGGAGGGCTGAGACAGGCCCAACCACAAAACCAGCTGGGAGGCAGAGCTGCCTCCCAGGAGGCCATGACAGGAGAATGCACAGCCCGAGGAGACCTAAGTGTCTGAGGCCTACAGGCCAGACCCCTAACCTGGATCCTGCCAGCATCCTGGTCCCTGTGCCTGAGTTTCCTTTCCACCACTGGACCCTGGAGCATCACGTGCCCATCCGAAGCACGGCGCAGAGACCACAGCGGGGCTTGGAGGGCGCAACCCACGCTCCCTCTTCACAGGCACGGGTAATTGAAGACTGATTAGAGGTGCCACTCAAAGTCAGCTTTCGTCACCAACCCCCTGTCTGAAAGTTAAATTGAATCTGGAACTTCCACAGCTGCTGGCGTGGGGGTGGAGGTAGGGGTGCTGTGCGCGAGCCTGAACAGCTGGGCCGAGCAGGCCGAGCACCGCATTCAGCAGTTTCCTTACAGAGTCTCGTGTCTCTACAAAGGATGAATCGGTGTGCATGTCACTGTGCCCACTGTGTGCAGGTGAGGGGTATGTGAGTGTGACCCTGTGAGGGTGCATGAATGTGTTGGCGTCACTGGGTGAGTCCGTGCATCAGTGAATAGGAGCCCGAGTGTGTCAGCACGGTGGGTGTGACGACAAACATGAATGAATGTCCCTCAGTGTGAGAGACAGTGCAGGCACGCCCCAGTGCATCTGTGAACATGGCTGGGAGCTGGTTGTGCATGCTCATGAGTGTGCGTACACCCCCACAGGTCTGGATGTACACGTGTGTTAGCCTATGTGTGTGCATGCAAGTGTGTCCGAGCGTGCCTTGGCCACGTGACTGGGTGGACTCTCGCTAACACGTGGGAACGAGACAGCTCCCGGGAGTCATCCAGACAGCCGAGGGAAGGAACTCTGGTTAACGAGCGCTAATTACCAAAAAGGGACAGTCCCCGAATAATACAGCCCAGGTTAATCAGAACGAAAGTGCTCTGCTGCGGAGATTAGGGAGCGCTCATTACGCGAGTGCCTCCATGCCGGCCCTGCCCCTGTGAAATTTCCCTGCACAAACAGCTTGGTGAGGGGCAGGGCCGCTGTCACTGCACACAGAAATCTAGGTCAGCAGAGGCTCCCTGAGCGCCCCCTTCCCCAGGACTGGCACTTCTGCAGCCACTGGTGACAGGGCATGGCTGAGCACCTTGGGTGTGTCCCCCTGGCTGCACGGCTGGACAGGACTCTGGCCTCAGGGGAATGAGGAGTGTTGGGCAGGTACAAGGTACAAGGTCTCACCGGGCCTCAGTAGTCCCCTATAGACCCCACCAGGCCTCCCTAAGCCACACTGGGCCCATCCAAGCCCTTCCTCCAGGTCTCCCTAGGACTCCTGAGTCCTGTCAGGCTTTTGCAGGCCTCACTAGACCTCCCCAAGCCACTATAAGCCCCTCTAGGTCCCACCACATGTCCTGAGGTCTCAGCACATACCTCTAGGTCCCTAGGCCCCACCAGAGCCCCATCAGGCCTTAACAGGTCCCTGTAGGCCTCCCAGACCTATTCCAGGCCCCATCAATCTCCCCAGTTCCCTGCAGGCCCCAGCAAGCAGGCTGAAGGACAGGAAATGGGAGGCAAACGCTCCCGCCTGCCCGCAGTGCCGGGTGAAATATTGCCCCAGGAAATTAAAACCCCAGCACCTAAGCCCGGGCCTGCCTCCCCAGCATAACTTCACACACAGGATATTTCTGTGATTTTTCACCAATCATGGGCTGTAATTGGTTACCATAGAAACCCCCTCATTTCCAAGACTCCCAGCTGTTATGCAGAAAACCCAGCATGGCAGGGGAAGCAGCTCCCTTCTCTTCTTCAGTCCAGTTTCTCCCCTTCATTGAAGGGGTTCAGAGAAAAGAGGGAGGTGGGTGGGTGGGAACACAGCAAACCCCCACCCCTATACACACACACTTGGGAACCAGGAAACTCGGGCCGTAGAGGACACAGCTCCCTCAAGGTGGTCAGGACTGATTCTGTCCCGCGGGGGGCCTGGGAAGGAGGATGTGATCGGGCAGTGCCTGAGTGACGCCTGGCCCTTCCTTCAGGCCTGGCCAGGCCCCTGGGCTCGCTGGACTTCCTGGTTCTGAGTCACTCCGGGCCTTCCTGGCTGGAAGCTTTGGAAGCTTTGGTTGTATCTCCAAGGACTTGTACAAGCTCTTTCCACCCCTCTTGGGCTGGCTTTGAAATTGGGGAGCCCAAGAGTGCCTCTGACCCTGTCCAGCCCATGGCTGGGGATTCCCAAAGACACTGCCCCTCACAACAAAGGCTCAGACCTCCTGGATGGGCCGTGCCCCAGGAAGCCGCCATCGTGCCACAGCCATCTGCCAAGATGGAGGCAAGGCCTGTGTGCACTGCTCACCACTGTCATCACTACAGCTGGAGGGTGATGTGCTACCCAGGAGGCCGGGCAGAGCTGGCACCCATGCCCCCACACTCTGGGGTACCCACAGGCCACCAATGATACCCACAAACCCAGCTACAGGACAGGAAGGCAGACCTTCCCCCGACCCCCAGGGCAGCAGGACTGGCAGAGAGGGGAATCCTGGTGCATTGTGGGGGTGGGGGAGGTAGGTGAACAGGCCCACATCTGTGAGGGGACAGTTAATTCCTTACAAGCAGCAAGCACTGACAGAGATCCTGAGATGAGATCCTACTCTTAAGATCCAACCAAAGCCTGCACACCAGTGTCCACGAAGCACCACCCAGCTGCCCAGAGTGCCCACAAGCCAAGCAGTGCCCGCACATGCTCAGACGGGCACTGACGGGCCAGGCTAAGGCAGGAAGCAGGGACTGCGTGCAGTAGGAGGAACCTTAAAGGGTGACACAAAATGAGCAGGGTCAGGCAGGGCCTAGTGACCTGGCCATCCCAAGGAAGGGTCAGGAGAGAGAGAGTTCCATAGAGACAGAGATGGCTGTCTACGGAGCTCGGGGAGGGGAGGGATGGGGGTGGTTGCTCGCTGGGGATGGGGCTCCTTTGGGGGTGATGGAATATTCTAGAATTGACTGTGCACCTTATAAAACAGTAAAGCCACTGAGCCAGACACTTCCAAAAAGTAAGTTTAATGACATGCGGATTACACCTCAACCAAAATGAAGGGAACTAGACAGAGAAGGGGGTATGCAAGGGGACTGGGGGTGGCTGATGAGGGGGTCTCCATGCCTAATCCTAGAGTCTGATTGGTGGGAAGGAGGAAAGGCCTGAGCTAACCCTCGGAACGGCGGGCAGGCCTGAATGCACAGTGGAGAATTCCAGGGTCCTCCACATTGTATCCAGGCTCCCTGAGGGCTCACTCCTTCCCCCACCCCCCACCCCCGGCTTGACCCACTTCTACCCCTCCCCACCAGGACAGGCCTGGACATTGTCATTCGAATCTCTCCAGGGACATTTTTCAAATGCTAGCAGAGAGTAAATACTGTGCCAGCTCCCCTTATTATGGCAGCTTCTTGATACTCTCCTTTGTCCCTTTTTTTATTGAGATCATTTGTTTTTGTGCTGTGTCCTGGGGCTTGAACTCAGGGCCTGGGTTCTGTCACTGAGCTTTTGTGCTCAAGGTTAGCACTCTACCACTTGAGCCACAGGACTGGCTCTGAACCATGATCCTCAGATCTCAGCCTCCTGAATAGCTAGGATTATAGGCATCATGGTTTAATAACATCGGGTGGGTTGAGACTGGTTGCCTTCTGTAGACTTTCCTCACAGGAGAAAAGTTACTGTCCTTTAGGGGGCACGGATACCTCTTTATCTCTGGGGTTGGCAACATGAGTTTCTGGAAACTGCTGGTCCCTGACTCGTTGGGACACTGAGGCAGAGGGAGTGGGGCCTGGTGGAGACCTTGGGAGTCCAAGGGCCATCCTGAAATCTTAGGACGGGATAGGACTGACGAGCTGCCAGACAGCTGGGCCGTCCACCCCAGACCAGCTGCAGACCCCAGGTCAACATCTGCACCTGTCCCATCGCCCCTGCCTCTGAACCCGGAGAGGACAAAGCTGTGTGCTGGAGAGGTGAGCCTGAGCCTGGGCCTGTCACTTCCAATACACCGTCTTTCCATCTCATAGCCGGAGCGTTTGGTCTGAGGTCTCCTCCCATTCTAAGTCCCGTGTGTCTGGAACCAACAACCCACAGGGCACGGATAACAGGACCCCAGAAAGGTTTTATCGGGGCCACAAGTTGCCCAGTTGGCCTTGTGTGAGTCCCCTCGCCTGATGAGGAGGGGCTCGGCGGAGTGTGCGCCCCAGCCCATAGCTCCACGTTCAGTCGCTTTCGGGCTGCGCCTTGACTCCCTTTTGGAACGCTTTTAGACTGACACAGAAGCTGCAGGAGTGCAGTTCGTTCCTGGGACTCTCCTCCCAGCGTTCCCTCCTGCACATGTCACTCCACATATCACTGGCTCAGCTGCCACACTCAGGGAGAGGTGCCGGCGCAGGTGGCTGTTAACCAAACTCCATTCTTTATTCGAGCTTGCTAGTTTGTGCCTGAGATCCCACCCGGGACGAAGTGTCCTGTCCTGGGCAGCCCTGGTCTCCTCAGGCTCCGCTCTGCTGGGAGCTCCTCTGATGCTTTGGACTGTGATGGCCTGGATGGTTTGAGCAGCACTGGGCAGGGAATCCATAGCTGCATCTCCATCCGGCTTTGTGATTAGATGAGGGTCCAGGGTTGGGGGTGCAGTGCCCTCTGGTCCCCTCCCATCCAGGTCACCTGCTCTCCACAGTGTGGTGGACGCCACCGCCATCACCTGAAGGAGGCTTGCCTGCAGGGGTCACCCCTGGGCGGGGCCCCCCGCTGCCATGCTGGGAAGACGGTCACTGGCACAAGGCACATCCTTGGGCTCACCCACTTCCTGTGAACTCTTCAAGACACGCCCACAGACTCCTGACAGCCAGGGCATTGGGCTCACCCACTTCCTGTGAACTCTTCAAGACACGCCCACAGACTCCTGACAGCCAGGGCATGCAGGAGTGAGCACCGGCAGCCTGGCGTGTTGCCTGTCACAACCGGGGGTGGAGAGAAGGCAGGACTGTCCCTTTGTTTAAAGCCTCCCTCCACCCTGATATGTGGATGCTAAAGCCAAAATACAAGAAGATATGACAAAGTAACAGGCCTCAAGAAACAAAGGACAGCCACTCATCTTGTCCTATCATTGTTAAATGATTCCATGTGCTTGACCATATATATGGTAGATATACGCATGCAATGGAAGGAAGCCAGGAGAAGGAACAGAAGAAGTGGGAACAGCCTACACTAAGCAAAAGGAAAAAAAGGCAAACATCACCTGATGTGGAAAAAATAACCTGTATTGTCAAAGCTCATAGAATTCACAAACTGTATAGGCTATGATAATGGCAACTTGCCTTGTGAAGGTTAAAATGTGTTTGTGACTTTACCTGAGTATCACTATTCCACAATACTGTGAAATATGTGAAATTTATATAATCACCTAATCTCAATTAAAGAAAAAAGTGAGAGAAGGGATGGGTTAGGAGAGATGTGACAATGTTGTCAGACGCTTTGTGCTCATATACTGTTTTGTAGATTGGAAACTTCTTTGTACAAGTACTTAAAGATAATAATAAAAAAAACACCTCCCTCCAGAATTCCAGGTGCTGCTGGGGCGACAGGACAGCCTTTGGAGGGCAAAACCCTGCTCCCTGCATCTCGCCTGGGGTGGGATGGGGGGGCTGGAGGCCTGGGAGGGAGGCGAAGAACTCAAGCATGCACAGACCCACCTTTGCTTGTAAGAAAGCAGCGGAAGCTAGGCACCAGGGCTCATGCCTGTAATCCTAGTTACCCAGGAGGCTTAGATCTGAGGATGACAGTTCAAAACCAGCTCAGACAGAAAAGTCATGAAACTCCTATCTCTAGGGAACCACTAAAAAGCTCAAGTGGTAGAGCACCAGCCTTGAACAAGAGAGCTAAGGAGCAGTGTGTAGGCCCTGAGTTCAAACCCCAGTACCACCACAAAAAAAGTGAAGGGGGAGGAACAGGAAGAGGAAGAGGAGGAAGAGAAGGACAAGCAGGAAGAGAGGAGGAGGGAAAAGAGCAGGAGGAGTCTGCTTTTTGCAAATAGGAGCCGGTGGCATGGCCACACTTCTGTGGTGAGGGCACAGTGCCAGCCAGGCTCAACCTGGCCTCAGGGCAGAGAAAAGCTCCAGGGGAGGCCCGCTTGCTGTGGGTTTGGAACTTAGGGTCCTCCGAGGCGCCATCTTGAGTAGCTGCTTCTCAGCGTGGTGGACCTGGGGTGAGGCAGATCAGGTCCACCGGAGGACTGACGGGCTGGAGAAGGATGTTTTGGAAGGGGACTGGGGGCTCCAGTCTCTTCCTCCCTCCTCTGCTTTCTGACCACCAAGGAAGCCGTTTTGCCCTGTTGAGACATTCCACCACACTTCCAACGCACCGCTGGGGCCACTGTTGATCACAGACTGAGATCTCTCACACAGTGAGCCAAACCCAGCCTTTCCTCTCTCTTGAGTGATGAGAGAGAGGGCCTCTGGTATTGGTTATGGTGACGGGAAGCTGACTGGAACAGGCCTTTCCCTCCCAGTCCTGCCTGACCTCCGACAGAGAAAATGTGCTTTCCTCCAGAAGAGAAATGGGATGTTTACTGAGAAGCGAGATCTCTGCGTCTGGGGCGGAAATGGTTCCATTATCTCTAATTTCCCCTTGGAGCCCACGCTGCTCAAGTTTCCAGGTGCTTCTACCCCTGGGAGGCAGAGAAGGATGTGTCTACCAAGGCCGGTTCTTCCCTTCAGCCAACAACAAGCCAGGCTCCCCTGAGACAGCCAGGCCCAGATCGCCTAGCTACACACCAGGAAAGGTACAGGCAGCCCCTCCAAGTCTCAGGCAGAGACCTGGCCGGGAGCCCTCCAGCCAGCCCAGGAAGGGAGCGCCCGTCACCCGCTCCTGGGAGGAGAGGCTGGCGCCATCTTCCTCACGAAGGTGTGTTAGGCCGTGAGTCACCAAGGTGGTTTTGGCGGCTTCTGTCATTGCCGCGTCCTGTCACAGTGGAATCTCACACTGCTCCTGATTCAAAAGGCTCGAAAACAGCCCTCCCTTTCAGGAACCTCCAGGGGTCTCATCTCTAGCGGCCCCCACCCCACCTGTCAGGTGTGCCTGCCGCCGGGTCTGACTTGCGGGGGAGCGGATGCCAGAGCCGAGTTCTCCAGCACCCGGATCCCCCCAGAGCCCACGCCGCTCTCCTTCCCCAGCGTGGGGGTCGGCAACACCCTGGGGTCCCCACAACACCCAGCCCAGGGTGGCAGGGCACCCCCTGGCTCCCTGCCTGAGGCTCAGGAAGCATCTTCCAGGTCCGGGAGGCACAGGTCAGAGCCTGGGATGTCCAGAAGGCACAGGAGACAGCACCGGACAGACAGCCCCTCTCCCCTGCCCACGGGGCCTTCTCCGGGCCGGGTCCCCGGCACTGCTGTGACTTGTTCTCTACCCCAGAAAAGGAAGGCCACAGGCTGACCCAGCCTGCTCCAACATGCACTCCCCACCCCGGCACCCCAGGAGAGGTGTCCATCCACCTCGCCCACAGGGTTCTGGGATCAAGCTCTCTCAAAGTAACGGACCAGCAGCATCTTTTCTGTTGGGACATCACGTGGACCGGTGCATCTGCACTGGGCCAGCCTCCCGTTAGTATGTGCAGGTCTTTTCCCCAGCCCTCTTAGACCCGCCGTGGAAGCACCTGGTGTGGACAGCATCGTGCTGGCCTCAGACGCAGACCCGAAGCCCAGGACCTAGAGTACGAAGATGCTGGACTTGGGAGTCCCAACATCTGTTAGAGAAACTGGAGCCAAAACAACTTTTTAAGCTGTCTAGAACTTTCCTTCTTGGACGATCCACATAGCTGCATTCAGCCAGGGCAGTGCCTGTGGGGTGGGCAGGGCACCCTGGTCGGCAGTGTCCACCTGTGGGGCCTCCCGGGGCCCAGGGGCCCCCACCAGCCATGTCACACCCTTGTGCAGAAGTCTCTAAGGGACAGCGTGTCCTGCACTTACAATGATCATCCCGACGCATCACTGGCTCTCATCCGGGGACAACCCTGTCCCCAAGGAGACAGTTACAGTGTCTGCGGACACATGGGCTTGGCACCATTCAAGGGTATGACCAACACCCAGTGAGAGAAACACCAGAAGCTGGGGAATTCCTGGAGATCGGGTGGCCCCACCCTGAAGACTTACCCCACCCTAAACACTGAAGCCGGAAGCCCTGATGCCAGACCCCTCTTCCCCTCTCTTTCCGCCCCCGCCCCCTGCCGCGGGTCACACAGGAGTAGCCGTCTCTCTTCCAGGAGGAAGGGTGGTCCTGAAACCCAGCTCCGGGGACCACGCAGTGTCGGGGCTTCTTGTGTGGGCACTGTAACCCCCGAGCTGGAGGAACTTGGGCAACCTACTTAACCACTCTGGGCCTCAGTTTCCCTGTGTGTACCCCCACTCAGGGCATGCTGGAGACCGCACGGTGGGTATTTTTAGGCTGGCTCTGGGTAAGCGTTCTCAGGGCCTCCGCAACTCCTCCATTCTTTGCTGACGCTGGGCGGTCAAGGCCCGACTCCTCCTCAGGGGCTCCTCGGCCACACGGGGCCCCCCGAGGCGTGGGGCCCACCAGCCCTCGCAGGTGCTCCGAGAAGACTGAAGGATAGCAACGCGTTGGCATTCTGGTTGCCCGGGCAACGTGCCCGCAAGCATTCCGGAGGAGGGAAGTGGTGACAAGCGGTGGGTGGCGATGTACCGGGTCCCGGGAGCAGGGAGTGTGGCTTCTGCATCTGAAGCTGAGCCTGGCTCTCCTGTCCCTGCTGCCGTCCCACAGCTACACAGGGACAGGCCCCGCTGCCCAGAGAAGTTCCATCGCCCAGAGGGCCCAGCCCACACGCCATGCACACCTGTGTCCTTTCCAGCCAGCAGCCCAGCACGAGCAGCCCACACCCATCTGCCTCACTTTGCCACATGCCCTGAACCATACCTAGCCTCACCCCTGCAAGGGGTGAAGGGTCAAAGGCTTGAGAGGGGTCCCTGCATGATCCTGCCCACACCAGCATCACGCCCTGACCCTTCTCCATCTGCCTCTATGCACAGGACAGAGCTGGCACCAGCCGGATCAACGCTGGCCTGGAGCCTTCCGTGAGCAAACCCCAGAAGTGTGCCTGGAGCCAGGAAGCGGAGAGGCCTGCAGGGGCACAGCTAGCTCTCGACACCCGGCACAGTCCTCAGCTTTACTTCGCCCGGACTCGCTGGGGGTGTGGAGGGAGCTCACCATGCACAGAGATCCAGGCCCTGTCCAGATCCACCTGTCAGCTTCCAGGCACGAACCAGCACACCGAGTCAAGAGACAATAAGCACCCTACTTCCCACCTGTTCTTAACCCTGCACCGGGGCCTGCCGGGGGAGACAGGCAGCCCTTCCACAGATGCAGAGGAGGTGGACCAGGGATGCTGGCTGACATGAGGGCAAAGCAGAGCCACCCCGGGCCACGTGATGACACCAGCGTGCCAGACGTTCAACTCAGAGTCCAGGACACAGGGCCATCTGGCCGCAAAGACTGTCAGGGAAGGTTCTAGGCCATCATGGGAAGACACAAGAGCCATCACACAAGTGCATATTTAACGACGGAAAACCAAACCGCGGAGGACTGAGCGTGGAGAGAAAAAGCCAGTGGGATCCTAAAATAGCGCCGCCCAGGGACTGAGCAGTAGCTGTGTGCCAGGCAGGCATCTTGCAGGGATCGTCTCATGCCGTTCGCTCGCCCGTTCTCTCGGTAACCTGAGAGAAACGAGTGTTACTCTCATCTTGCAGAAAAGAGACAAACAGAAATAGTAGCTGGGCCTCTCTGCAGGGACGGCTCTTAAAAATACAACTGAAAAAGGTGGCGCTCAGGGAGGGCGTCACAGGCAGAAGCTGGTCCCGGGAAGGACACAGCCCCCCCCCTCGCCCCCGCCCCCCTCACACACACAGTGTGCATCCTGGGACTGCTCCCTGGCTCTTACACTGGGGAGCACACGTTCCTCTTAGCCAGCCTTGCACGTGTGGAGATGTGGCTCCTGTGGCTCATTACTGATAGTCTTGTTCCTGCAAGGGGAGCTGAGAGGAATAAATGTCAGGCTGTCGCCAACTTCCTAAGCGCCCGTTGCAGCCTCTGTATCTTCGCAGGAATTTTCTATTTTGGTTTTTGTCGCAATGGTTATGTTCGTATTTACGAAACTCCACACGATTGCCCGGCACTTGTTAAATCAAGTGAGGAGGGGGGGAGGAGAGCCACGGAGGAGCAGCTGCCTCTCAATGCACAGCCCCCTGGCTTCCAGGATTCTCAAAAGAATGGCACTGCCCGGGTACAGAGGCCTGGCAGGGGCCCAAGGGCACGGTGGCCCAGGACAGTGCTTGGGGTCAGGGGGCTTGGAGCCAACAGCCCCAGACCCCAGCAAGATCTTGGACCAGTGGCCAGAGTGAGTCCCCGGGGCCTCTCCTGGCCCTGGCGTGTGTGATCATGGCAAGGAGCCGGCTAAGCTCCTGCAGAGGGCCTGGCTAGGCGTGCCCAGAATGGGAAGACATCTCTGGATTCCAGCCATGGCAGGCTACGGTCCCCAGAGCAGCTGTGTGCCCAGTGCTGGAAGGGCAGACGGCCAAGGCACTAAGGAGGGGCAGCTGGGCCAGCATGGCCGGACACCCCATGGTTTTATTCCTTTGCTCTGCAGGTCACATCTCTCTCTGACCTCCACCCTTAAGGAGAAGCTTGATAAAGGGCATCTTCTTGGGGTAGTGGCCAAATGGCCTCATGTGGCTGGAGTGTGGCGGGGGGATGGAGGAGAGAGGGGCTGCAGGGGAGGAAGACCCATCTGGAGTGCGAGAGCAGAGCCCCGGCAGGAAGTAGACCAAGGAGCTTCTGGGACTTCGGTCACAGAGGGGACCGGCGAGGCTCAGCACTTCCTGGAAGATGTGTCTGATGACCTTCACACCTGGGAAGGACTGCCCATCAGGCATGACCTTGAATGTCTGAGGAAGGCCGGGGTGACTAGGAAGGCAGGTGACCTTGAGGGTCCTTCTGAGTCTGTAAGCCTCGGATCTCAGGCTTGGAGAGGAAGGGTAGGCGGGCAGGCCTGGCTGCAGGCACCAAGCACAGGCTGGGGCTGAGCCCATCTGAGATGACCTTGGGACCCCCAGAAGCACTTAAGAAACTTTCTTCATAACTGCTCAAAACAGACTGCGGTCCTCAGTGCTTCACACCCAACAGGGAAGGAGACTAGGGCCCTGAGTTCAAGCTCCCCTTCAGCAGCCTCTAGCAGAGCCCAGAGAAGGCTAGGGAGGAAGGTGAGGCATGTCTTCTGGGCTTGGGCCCCTTGGCAGCCTCCTAGCTCTCCACCGTCCATGGGAGAGAGCACAGCTCAGACGAGGAGGTGGGCTGGACTGGGAGAGCCTACCTGTGGTACTCACTCAGGGCAGGTGTGGCTCTCTCTCCTGGGTGGGGGAAGGTTCCCAGGTCCCACCACAAGGCAGTGGAAAGAAGGAGGCACGGGCAGCTGGCTGGAAGTCCACATTGACCCCATCCACAGCCAGCACCTCCCACCCACAATCCCGCCCTGGTGCACAGGGCCGCATGCCCCCAGACAGGCTGGACTGGTCCATGTCTACCTGCCACGGGAACCCCGGAGACAATGCCGACCTCAGCACTTCCGAGATCACGGAGCAAGGGCGGATGGTGTTCCCACTGCAGAAACCTTCCTGGGGAAAGCCATCACGGCCCCTCGGCAGGACCCAGGGCCCAGCTAACCCTGTGCGATCCTCTCGTGACACCCACCCTCCCCCGTGTAGGGGGAGAGGACACACGGACACATGTGCCTCACAAAACACAATCACATGTACACACAAATCCACAGAGAGACTTCCTGTGCACGGGGGCCCAGAGAGGTACACACAAACACAGGCCTGTGTGTGCACACCGTGTGTGCAACGATCCTTCCCACATCCCCTCTGGTTGCCTGGCTGTGAACTCCCTCACAGCCCACAGGATACCATCTCTTGAGGACTATCTCTCCCCTCCCCCCACCCCAGATCCATCCTCCCTTCCAAGGTCTGCAACTGGAAGGCCCAAACCGAGCAGTAAACACAGCCTGGCTGGCATTATGCCAGCCACTGGCATGGGGACAAGAGGCTGCAGGCCGGGCAATCATCCACGGAGAAACACAGAGGAGGCAGCCAGACAGTGGCTAAGGGGCGGGACCACGCCTGGGACCTAAACCTCCAAGACTCTGTGAGAAGAACCGGGGCTGCTGGGACAGAGTGGGTGTCTGCGAACTTGTCAGCGCGTCCCGACAGCCCCAGGATTCTGGGTTGAGAAAGAAAAGGGAAGAAGTTCTATTTCAGGGGGAAGCATCTTTTCTGGCTAATCAGAGGTGGGATGACCGGCCCAGGAGGACCCTCACGGAACACACCTGAACACCCGACATTCCAGGGGAAGTTGATCCTGAGCAGGGTGCCCCTGACCACCTGTCCATGCCCCGTGGTGACTGGATTCAGACACCAAATTCTGCCTAACAGTGCCCACCACCTGAGGAGCAGCCGTCCTCCAAGTCCATGGTCTTCCTTGTGCCATGGACATCCAAACAAGGAACTCAAGAACACTGCACATGACACAGCCCATGCTCCTAGGGCTTCTGCCTTCCTGATGCCCCTGGCTATGTATTTGCTTGGGAGGTAAGGAAAGTGGGGTGCTCATCTGCTGATACTCAGTACCTGTAGGGCTCGAGGCCGGGTACCGAGCCCACCTCGTCAGGACATCCCAACACTGGGACCCAAAGACCAGGGGCCACTGGAACCCACAGGGCATGGGACAGATTCTTCCACAAAGAGGTCGGCTGTCCAACTTCAGCCATCCATCCCTATGTCCTTGCTCTGTCCCCAGCCCTCTCTAACTCTCTCTAAACCCAGTGGGTAGGCCTCTCCTGTCTCCCCCTCCTCCTCTCCCTTCCCTCTCCCCCGTCCCAGGGCCTCCACAAGCACAGCAATCACTGTCTTCTCAGCGGTAGTGTCTTACTTGGGGGCTGGCCCCAGCCTCCCCAGGGCCTGGTTATGAATGGGTTGTATCTCAACAAATCCACAGGCTTAGTCCTTACCCCAGAGGGCTGGGAGTGTACCTGCGCCTGCGGAGTCTTTGCTGGGGACAGTTAAAGCGAAGTCAGTACAGTGGCCCTGGTCCAGTGGCACAGTTGTCCTGAGATGAGAGCACAGAAAGAGGTCTGTGAGGGAGAAGATGGCATCCAGCAGCCAGAGAGAGGCCCCAGGAGGAACAAAGTCCTGCTGCAGCCCAGCCCTGGACCGATTCCGTCTCTCCCCGTCCGACTCCGCCCACCTGCGGGCTCAAGACTCGGTCCTTCTAGCAGTCATTCAACACGATCAGCTGCACCAGCCCTCAGGGCTAGCTCACAGCAGGAACTCTGAGAGGCCCCTGACAAAGCCCTCCAATGAGGCGTGCCCATGGGTGCCGGGTGTTGACCATGCTTGGTGTTGTCATTGTGTTTATTCAACAGCCATGTATTAAGCACCCGCCATGAGAAGGTTGGTTGTGGAACTGAGCAACAAGTGCCTTTCCCCCTCCCTCACCTGGCAGCACACGGCACTGTCATGGCTCACCATCCACTAGCTTGGGACTGGAAGGATAGGTAGGTGAGTGGATGGATGGATGGATGGATGGATGGATGGATGGATGGATGTTGGATGAGTCAGTGAATAAATGAGTGGATAGAGGAATGGATGGATGAGTGGCTGGCTATCTGGCTGAGTGGGTAGGTGGGTGGGCAGACAGGTGAATGGTTGAGTGGATGGATGAATGGATAGACAAGTGGATAGATGGGTGGGCAGATGGATGGATGGATGGATGGATGGGTTGGTAGATGGATGGATGGATGGGTTGGTAGGTGGATGGATGGATGGTTGACTGGATAGATGGATGGATGGGTGGGAAGATGAATGGGTGGATGGATGGGTGGATGGGTGGATGAGTGGGTGGGTGGTGAAGTTGATTGTCAACTTCATTGGTTTGACAAATGCCTAGAATATTAGTAAGGTGCAGTTGAGTATGTCTGTGTGGGTGCTGGCAGGCAGAACTGGCAAGAGGGAAGACCTACCCTGAGTGTCTGTATTCCCATCTTGTAGTCTGAAGGTCCAGTGAGAATGAAAGGAGGAAAAGAAGTGATGAGCTCCGGCATTCTCTCTACTTCCTGACCTCACCAAGAGGTGAGCTGCTCTTCTCTACCTCCCTGCTGTGCTCCACCACACCCTTCCAGCTCTTCCCCACCACACTCTCCCTGCCATGATAGACGGAAACTTCTGAACCTGTAAACTCGTTCTTTTCCTTGTTTAAATGGTTCATAGCAGATATGTTGCCCCGGTGATGAGAAATGAATATGCCACCTGAGGAACTAGGCAGTTTAGCTGCAGGACCTGGTCCTGGATTCCACTCTGGCTGGGCAAGCCCTAGAGGAGGAGTCAACAATCTTGAGTACCAGGGAGGAATTCCCTGGATGGAGCAGAAGGTGTGCTGAGATCCCCAGGAAAGAGCGAACCAAAGAAGAGAGTGGAAGGGAGCTTCTACTGTCAGCTTGAGGCAGTCAGTTGCTTTTATTTTGTTTTTATCCAAATACAAGTCTCACCTCCCAAGATCATCTCCCAAGGAGTGAGTTATCTCTGGGCTTTGGTGGCATCTCCTGGGCACACTGTACAGACAGACCTGCAGACCTGACACCACGGGGTCCTCTCCGGACCCTGAGGAGTTAGCCCCATAGCATAGTCCCAATGATTCCCCGGATGCCCGCCATGGGCCCACACTCCCACGGCAATGCAGTGAGTCACAGAGTACCAACAGGGCAGAGACACCCGCCACACACACACACACACACACACACACACACACACATGCACGCACCGGCTCTGCTGGCTCCACTGTCCCCTACCCCCAAGAGCCCTACTGGACCACAGGAGGTGCCATCTACCCCTTGCCTGACCCCACTGTCCAGCTCCAGCCAGCCGAGGAGAGCAGGCCTGGTCCCAGGAGGCTGGGAAGGAGGACTGGCTGAGTGTGGCTGGACACTGCCTGAGCCTAGTGGACTTCACTGAGCAGAAATGGAGCTGTCCCAGGTGTCTGCCAACGCATCTCTAGGTCTGCGTTCCAGCCCCTTTGCACAAACAACAGGCTCCCGGCTGAGTCACCATAGCTGGCCGCCTCCCCCCTGACCCTGGGTGTGAACGCTGCCCACGCCCTGGCCCCACACCCAGGCTTCATCCAGACCGGCACACGCTTGTCACCACAGGATGCCTACTCGGTATTTGTGGGGCCAGCGTGGGGCTAGCTTCCACACGGAGGCTGGGAAGTACAGGGGACAGGTGGACACAGCCAGCCCTACAGCAGCAGAGTCAGCATGGACGCTGGACACACTGGAGGGTGGGGTTCTGGAGCCCCAGAATCCCGCTTACTAGGAATGCCTTCTCCCCGCTGCGGCCCTGGGCATTGCAGGCTGGCCTTAGCCCTCTTGTGGGTGGGTTGTATGATGCTCCACCTCTCTGACACTAACTCAGGAAACAGGTATTTCAGGTGCAATAGCTTTCTTGTTCGGTTGTTAATTGGGAACCCTTTGGCAAGGGAAAAACAATTTAGCAGCCATAATCAGCTGAATTCATAGCAGGCACGTTGCTCCGATTTATCAGTAATTGTCTCTGAAGCCTCTTTGGGGACAGAGGTGTTGCTGTGTTTCTCTCTCGCTTCTGCCGAGGACTTTTCTGGATGCGCTTTTGTTTCTATGTGATCTCAGGCAGGCTTTGAGGAGTGACACATCTGAGAAGGGACTGGACACCACAGGGTCTCAGACCTGATGCCCACAAACAACCAGACGTCCACTCTCCACGGCAGAGCAGAGCTGGTAGCCCTGCATGCACTTCCGTGCCTCGGTTTCCCCACCTGTCAAGGGAAACCTCCCTTGAACTTGGTGAGTGGGAACGACTCCAGTCTGTGAACACCTTCACAATAAGGAAAGGAAAACCAGCCAACGGGCCCTTCTTGCCACAAATTCTGTCTTGAAGTTAATCACTTGTTTGTTGATAGTATGAAGCTACATTCACCTTGCATGTTTTCCCCACACGAGACCATGTTTGAATACTGGCCAGGATTCTTCCACGTGACCCCAGGTGGCATTTCACCTGAGGATGTCAATCTGTCCTTTTTCCTCTCCTTCCCTGCTTCCTCCTCCTCTTCCTCATCCAAACCAGGCCTGGGCTCCCAGTGGCAGGGAGAGGGGAGGGGGGCCTCCAAACTCAGAGTCCATGTAGCAGGAATCCGCAGTGTGGCAGGCTGGTGACAGAAAGTGCCTGGACGGGCCTGTGGGGGCCCAGGCAGATCGAGGAGTCACGGAGGCTCGGGCTCAGCCTTGGCCGGGCCCTGCATGATGTGTAGATGGTCGCTGGGAGGCCAGGCCAGGCTCTGCTCCCCTCACCATGCCAGCACCCTTCCTTCTCTCCATCCCCCTTCTCCCGTCTTACCAACCTCAGGCCACAGGACACACCCAAGTCCTCGCCTGGAGGCCTCCACTGGCACAGTGCCCCCACGCTGGCCACGCTCACGTCCACAACCTCGGGTCTTGGGGGAACATTCCATCCTCTGAAGACTTTTTGTTGCCCTGAACAAAGGCCTCATGCAGCTCACTGGCAGCCCTTGTCATCAGCGCAGAGCCACAGCCCGAGCCTTGCCTGTGTGATGTATCGGTGTTTGCTGTCTGCCTCCTCTGCGGATGGAGACTCTGTTTCCTGTGTCCTTGATTGCCCATACACGGAGGGCTGGGCCTGAACAGGGCCTGATGGACAGGTGAATGAATGAGTGAGCCAGTGGATGTAATGAATGAATAAGTGAGCGCATCAGTGAATGCCTCTGCTGCCCTGTGCTGGGCCTCGGCCCAAAGTGTCCCGCATTCAACAACAGCCATATGCTCCCTGTGCTCAGCTTCTCCGAGGTCCGCTGTGGCCGAGTGGAGTGCGGGCACACACTCTGCTGGGAGCCTGTGTGTGCTTAACGAGCCACGGTCCCCGGTGATCCTCGAGGCCCCGGCCAGCTCTCTACCTCTTCCGGCAGCACATGACCCTGCCCCTCCCTCCAGGAACTCCAGAACGTCCTGCCTGGACTGGTCTGCCCACCAGGCCGCTCCTGACTCTCCCTGTCCCCCCACCGCTGAGGAGAATCGCCCTGGAATCCCTCACTCAGCCTGGCAAACGTTGGGAAGGCGTTCCTATACCTTTTCCTGCTCAGTGTGAGGGACGCACGGCTCCAAACATCACTTAAAGGGAGATTGTGACAATGATCCCAAAATAAGCTCTCCCGGGATCTCACCGGGCAACCGGCACTCACCATGTGTGGGTCCACGAGCATACATGCTCATCATGATCTTGATTTTAAACACGTAACAATTTTCTGTTTGAGAAAGACTTGAAGGAGAAAGAGGCACACGGTCCATCTTGAGAAGAACATGGCCAAGGTGAAGGACCCAGGGAAGCACTGGGCCTCCGGTCTACCGTGCACACTGACCTAGGCAGAGGACATGGCCCAGAATTGCCACTGTGGCCAAAGGGAAGTGCTAGCCAGCTCAGGACAGAACCCAGGAAACTCATGCATACATGTTTGCCTGTTTGCACACCCATGAGCACATGAGCATCACACAGATACCAGCATGTGTATGTGTATGTGCATGCAGTGTGCTTTTTTTTTGGGGGGTCCAGTTGTGGGGCCTGAACTCTGAGCCTGGGTGCTGTCCCTCAGCTCTTCAGCTCAAGGCTAGCGCTCTGCCACTTGAGCCACAGCACCACTTCTGGCTTTTTTCTTTTTGCTTATGTGGTGCTGAGGAATTGAACCCAGGGCCTCAGGCATGCAAGGCAAGCGCTCTACCACTGAGCCACCTTCCCAGCCCTGCAGTGTGCTTTTTTGCATGTACATGTGATTGCATGCATGCAGCTGCGCAGCCTTGTGTATAAGGGCATGTGTGCATGATTGTCTATTTGTATGCATGCACATTCACACATGTGTGTGTATGTGCATGCATGAGTGTGAGCATGTAAACTGTCCTGCACATATGAATGTGGAGGAGGTACTTTTGGGGGGTCAGGGTGGTTCCGGGGGCACAAGGAAATTAAGGGTCTTAAGCACATTTTCAGACAAGGGAGTTTGAACATAGCCCCCTGCGTCCAGTTCAGGGGGGAGAAAAAGGATGGGGTTATCGGGGGAGGAGCCTGAGCACTGCAACTCAATAGCCCTGTGTGAGGTCCAGCTTCCCCTCCCCCACTATAACAGGCACTGGGGCCTCTGTGACCCTGTCAACTTCACAGAACAGGAGTGACAGAGCTGCCCGTGGGGCCGGGTTCCGAAAGAGCAGGAAAGGAAGCATGAAGGTCCTGGCACAGCAGGTGCTCCGTGTGACATCATTGCAGCAGGCTGACCTGTGACCCCGGTCCTGTGGTGGACACTGTCTGTAAAGAAGCAGCCTTTGATTATGTAATTAAGTTAACTAAGAGTCCTGAGGAGGTCATCCTTCAATTCCATAGCCCTATAAGTAAAAGACAAAGGAAGATTTCCTACATAAGGGAGCAGCTACAAGGAAATCAAGGCAGAGACAGGAGAGAAGCCACAGATGCCAGAGCCACCAGGAACTGGAAGAGGTGGGAAGGGCCGCCCATGCATCGCCAGATGGAGGCTGGAGCTGCTGGCATCTCGTCTGCACCTTTGCCCTCCAGGACCGTGGCAGGTCAATGTCTTCAGGGAGCCCACGGAGGAATGGAAGTCTGAACGCCACCACCGTAGAGTTCTGGTAGACCCAGAGGAAACTGGAGGTGACCCCAAGGAATAAAGAGTTCCTCCAAGCAGAGTCTTCCCATGACTGCCGGCTCCATCCATCACCTGACATTTCCTGCCAACACAACTCTACAACGCATGGGAACAGCCAAGGTGGAAAACCACAACCCTGCATCCCAGACGGACCAGAGGGACCACGGAGACCACAACCAACACCAGCACTGGATGCACGCTAGACACCAGCAGCACTGCAGACTGTGCCCCCACGGTGCATGCCAGGAGAGCACCACTGGGCATTACTTGTGGATGTGTCTGCCCAGCCCGCCAGGAGCAGCAAGGGTGGGGTCCCCCGCACTGGTCCTCAGCAGGGCCTCCTACCAATGGGAGCTTACAGACATCTCGCTGTGACACAGGGTGAGGTAGAGCTGTGCCTGCCACTGGACTCCAACGAATCATGAAGTACTCGTGGTTAGCAGTTCTCGGACCGTTTGCAAATGAACCACTGTGGCAAGGAATTAAAATCCCCCTAAATAAAAATCCCAGGGAAGGCAGCTACACAGAGCTTGGCTCTCTACCTTCCGCTGGACACCTGGAGAGGCTGCACAGGCAGCCTGTGAAATGCAGAGATGTGCTGGTTTCTTGTACAGAATTACACACATGGAAGCGCTCTTCCACTTCATGACTGAATTCCGTGTTGCACTGGTGGTGTAGAAAGAACCTTAAACCTGCAGGTATGTCTTTGTTCCCCATGGTTTACGGACTTAGAACATTTTGTAGCTGCTGGTACTGGACACAGTCACGCCAATGGTGGTCATGCGAATGGTGATCATACACACCATGCTCACGCTAACAGAGTTCATGCCCATGGCGATCACCATAATGGTGTTTCATGCTGACACTAATGACCTCACCTCCCAGAGATCATGCTAACAGTGCTCATATTCACGACCACCCTGACAGTGAACACACTAACGGTGATCACACTAACGATAATGACACTAATGGTGCTGTGCCTCGGGTGCCCAGGAAGGCTGCTGTGGCACAGGCACTGGACGCCGGGGTGCCTCCGTCTCTCCCTCCAACCCCAGTGGGAAGGACACCACAACCCGGGATGGCTTTGTTGTTTCGCCTCTTTTCCTTCTGCCGTCGAGACTGATGACAACCAAGGCAGGAGACAAGCACTGGGGACTGTGTGACTCCATCCTCTGAGGCCACCCCAGGCCCAGCTGTCAAGGGCGAGAGGTCTCTTACGGTGGCAGCCTCAGCTGGGCACAGCCAGGAGGCCAGGACCCAGTGAAGACAGGACAGCCCCACCCTGTCTTGGTCCACCCTGTTTCCATCTTCTGACCAGCTACCCTGGGACAACAGACACCTCTGAGACGATGCCTCCTCCATGAAGTGAAGACAGATAGGCCTGTCTGTCTGAGGCTGAGGCACAGGTGCTTGAAGGTAGGGGAGGAGCCAGAGGCCCTTCAAAGAACTTCTCGTCCCAGGCTTCCTCCGGGAAGGGCGGTAGCTTCTGGAGGTCTCCAGCGCGGTAGAATCGGGACAGCAGGCGTGTGCTCCGTGTGCTCTCCCACACGGGCTGCGGGGACTCCCAAGGCTCGCTGGGCAGATCCTCCACGCTGACTAGCAAGGTGTGGGCCCCTCCACCTCTCCCCACGCGCCTGCCCCTCCCAGCCTACCCCTGAACTCTTCAACCTGCAGATACGCTGAGCCAACAACAGTGAGGAGGAGAATGGCTTCCGGGGGAGAATTATCCGCTCATTAACAGCTGCCCCCAGCACAGCGGAGACGCAGCTCTGCCCTGCCCGTGCCTGCAGACGCAGCAACATTTGGATCCCGGGGCCTCACAGACAGGAAGCAATCACTACACCTGAGTCCCGGGGAGGCCCGGTCTCTCCCAGGGATCCCCACGCTCCTCTCCTGCCCCTCCAAGGCCAGACCCTGGAGAGCACCCATCGCCACCTTCTCATGCTGCTTCTGACCAAAGCCACCGGGCGCCTGGCTGGTGCCCTCCAATACACAGAATGACAGTCCTGGGGCTTGAACTCAGGGCCTAGGCACTGCTCCTGAGCTTCTTGTGCTCAAAGCTACCACTCTACCACTTGAGCCACAGTGCCACTTCCAGGTTTTCCTGTGTATGCGGTGCTAAAGAGTCGAACTCAGGGCTTCATGCATGCTAGGCAAGCACTCTACCATTAAGCCACCTTCCCACCCCAGACATGCATTATTCTCAGCCAGGTGAGTCCCAGGGAGCAATGCCCCTGGAGAAGACCTGGTGGAGCTGTCCTGACCCCCTGGCCCACACTGAAGCCATGTCCTCTTGGTGGGCCTGGCCCAGAAAGAGACCTTTCCACAAGATCTCTCTTGTTAGTACCCAGTGACAGTACTTGCCCGACTCAGCCGAGCACTGTGTGAGGGGCCTGGGCATTCATTGATCTGACCTGGCTAAATCCTGAGAGGCATTGGCCCAATTATCCCCCTGTGGACGGATGAGGGAATGAGGCTGAGAGAAGTCAAGCAATGAGCCCAGTATCACACAGCAAGCTAAGAGTCCAGATCTGAACCCAAATCTGAACCGCTTTACCGTTAAGAGAGCCAGGTCTCTGGCGACTGGTATGAGGTGGGCGGAGCCTAGGCACCCTGGGGCTGGACTCCAGGGCAGAGGGATGCTGGGCCAACATGGGGGCTGGACAATGGCGTAGGCTCACTGTTTACTCTGCCACCACCTTCATCATCACCATTGTCTTGGTCATGGCCACACCCCCTCAGACCAGCGTGAGGAGCTCAGCAGGGCTGGGAGCATCCCAGTGGGGGGAGGTGTTCCAGGAGCACAGGATGTAGGCTCGAGGTAGGGAGCCTGGGAGAAGCTGGCAGTTGGCCAGGCCTGGCTGGGCGTGGTCAGAGAGGCATGAGAAGGGAGATACAATTTCAGCAACAGGACGTTAACAACAGTGTCCCTCCAGTGGTGCTGTGACCTCGGTGGCTTGCCCCTCCCTCGCCGAGGTCCTGAGATGTAGCTGGGAAAGGAGGATGTTGGGCCAGTCCACTGGTGATCTCTGAGCCACGCTGATCTGGGCTTTGTGAGCTCCTGGCTGTGTGGCATTACCAACTTTGTCAACCCTCTCTGTACCTCACCTGTAAATGCAGATTGTCACCGAGGTGCTGGCCCTCAGACAAGCAGTCCCGAGGGAAACAGCATCTGTGACTACAGTCACCCCCCTCATTTTGAAAGTGGGGAAACTGAGGCAAAGAATGTAAGTTGCCTGCGACTGTAGAGCTATAACTGTTGCACTCAGTTGTCTGTCTGATTGTGGAGGTGTGGTGTCCTGCGTGTGGCCGGCCTGTCCTGTGTATCCAACAGCAGGCAGGAAACGCGATTCGGCATGCTCTACACAATTCTGGACAGGACAGGCCCTGTGCGTGAGGCCCTGGGTACGGAGCTTGGCTCTGCCTCCAGCATGGTTTCTGTCTGAGCAGTGTCTCCCCAGCTGGACTGGCCGGGGACAGTGGGGCAGAAGGGCCTGGAACTCAGACAGGACTGAAGGTCTTCTGTGGACCGGGTTCCCAGACTCTGGGATCCAAAGCATCCGCCATGGGCTTTCCCGGCACCACTGGCCGTCCTGCGGGGCCCCCGATGCCGGTCCTCCGGGCGGGCATGTCCAGCACCCAGCCCCCTCTCCCTGGCCTTGGGCCCGGGCAGTGTGGCCCTGCTGGCTCCTGTTCACGCCGCAGCCTGTGGTAATTCTGCACACTGCCCGTGCTGCTGCAAACGCGCGCTTCCCGGCCTTCAGCAAACACTGCGGGCATTTAGCGGGCTGTGGGTTAACAGTGGGGCATTTTATCAAACTGTCTGAAGTATAACACTTGATGTTTGTCCTGCCTAGACAAAGGGATTTTGTATGAGTTTGGCTGTTTAATCTAAAAACTGCACCTGTCTCTTTGATTTATTTAACTCTTCCCCCCCCACCTCCAGGATTTTAAACTGATAACGGGTGCTGGAGAATTTGCTCAGAGTTTATCTTTGTTAAATTTCCAAATCCGCCCAAATTCTCAGGCCAAAGGCCTATCATTTAGCTCATCCATCGCACAGGTTAGAAGACACTAAAATGTAATCCTGCAGAGAAATGAGCCATTTCTCCTCCCTTCACCCACAAGTCTGTATAAAACCACTGCCAAGGAGAGTCTCCGGACGGAATCGGGGACCCTAAGGAGCTACGCGACATTGAACTTCACCATCTTTACTGGGACCAAAATGAATTTTATACATCCGTATAAAAACTCCAGTGCATCTGGAAATACAGCTCTTGATCCTCCTTCCCCAGGGAGAGGCTCGCTCGGCCCAATCTCCACCCCAGGCTCAAGGGCGGCTTTGCGAGAGACAGAAATGAACACCAGTGGCTTACAAGGAACAGAGGTGGTGCCAGAGGCTCCCTAAGAGCCATCTGTATATGTCCCCCAAGAAAAACACTGGGCACCAGGGATGGGGTGGAAGGGAGCCCAAGGCACGCACCCTCACCTCCTCCGGCCTCTGCCTGCCCAGAAGTACACTGGTATGAACAGAGAAAACCCAGGTCTACCTAGACCCTCAGACTGGGGCCTTATTTAGAAAGAGGGCCTTCTAAGATGTACATAAGCAAAGATGGATCCATGTTGGATCGTGGGGACCAGCCCCCAGTGGCCATGTGAGGTTACTATCAGGTACGGGCTAGACCAGGCCCCAGATATCCGGTCCAACCTTACTCCAGGGGCTCTGTGACAAGCTTCTGAGTGAGATGAACCCCTGAGTTAATGGAGGTCTGATCCAGCATCCCCCAGTGTGAGAACCTCGTCCAATCAGCTAACGGCACAGCAGGAAAGGGTAACGGGAGTTTTCCCTAAGCACCGGTCCTTTCAGGCCGTCAGCCTGGAGCTGTACCACGAGCAGCCTCATCTCCACCCCTCAGTGCATCGCAGGGGTTCTCCACAGCTGGTCACTGCAGTGGAAACACCAAATACCAAATGTCCTCTCCCCGCAGTCTGGCACAGGAAAGGTGTGGCAGTTTGCCCTGTGACCCTGACGTAGCACAGAGAGAGTTACAGAAGAGCATGTCACTAGCCCAAGGAAAGACCCATATTCAAACTTTAAAGCACAGTTTCTAGCAAACACGTATCACCTGCACAGCACAGAGAAGTCAAACCATTACCACTTGTGACACCATCATAAGCACACATGTGCTACACAGAGTGTGCAACAAACCAATGCAACACATGCCACCAATGCTTCCTTCCTCCAAAGAATCTTGACTCGTATGACTTGTGACTCTATAAAGGGGAGAGGGCACAAGTGCACACGTGCGTGCGTGCGCACACACACACACACACACACACACACACAGAAGAGGCTGTGCAAGGCCAGAGGCAGTGAGACATGGAACCTCAGCAGGAGCCATGGGAGGCTGGAGAGGCAGGAAGGTTGGTCCTGGAGCCTGCACGCCCCCTCCACAGTGGGCACTTGTAGCCATGAGAGAGTGCACTCTGCTGTCTAAGTCATCTGCAAGCAGTCCTGAGCTGCAGCAGCCTCTGGTGGACTGGAGGCCCAGGTGCGGGGACTCTTGGTCACCCACCACACATCCCTGCATCTTCATAGTGCAGTGGTCTCTGCTCTGGAGCTGGGGGCACACGGTCCACTTGCCAACCACGTGGACACATGTAGGGCTGGTGACCGGTGCTGGGGACCAATGGTGACCCCCATCATCTGGGAGGGGTGTGGCCACTTGGAGCCCTGGAGGCCAGGAGGGAGGCCAGGATGTCCAGCTGTGGGTTTCAAACTCTTCCCGAGCTTCTCTGTGAATCAGTTTCCTGAGCTAAGGACTGAGTGAGG